TGCACCTTGCCCACTCACTGACACCTGTGGGCCCTCCTCTTGGACTCAGCTCTGCTTTGCATCCCTGCTGGGATGAGCCGATCCCCACTTCAGGGTCTGGCTGCCCCCTGCTGTGCGTTCATCCATGCCCACAGCCCTGGCATCCTGTCCACATGCCCTCTGCTAGCTGACCTCATGCTGCTCTGTTTTTGGCTTCCCTATGCCCACGCTGGTGCTGACAGGTTGAAGAGACCCCGGCTCAGTCTGCAGCCTGAGAGTACATTGTAAGGATAGCTCTAGTCAAATAGCAGACCAGTGATTATGAAGCAACATGGTTCTCAGGCCACTCTGCCTTACATGCGGGGAATAGAACCACAATATCCACAGTGGTTCTTCTGCTGTATCCTATCCACTACATGGGAACTCTGACATCACCTTGACGTTCCTCCCGCGCAATCCTGAGAGAGATTTGTAATCCAAGATCTAGTCCTCTTGGCGACCACCACTTTCCTTCTGTTTACTCTGGCTGGCACCGATACTGTCCTCTCATTGCTGGCAACCTGGAAGTGCCGTCCATGACCCTGAGACCTGCTGGAGCAAGTTTGAACCCACCAACATTAATGTCTGTGCCGGGGGCACTGCTGACTGCATTGAAAGAATGAAGGTGAAGTGCTGACTCCATTGCTGGCAATGATGCTAGTTGGGCATTTAATTGTGTGCCCCAAAATATATCACATCTTAACCCCTGGTACCTGTGAATGTGACCGTATTTGAAGATAGGGTCTTTGCAGATGTGTCTAGATGTAAATTAAGACAAGATGATGCTGGATAGGGGAGATAAAAGATCAACAGGAAGGACTTGTATGCACGCATATAAGCATAACCAATGGACGCAAGACACTGGGGGGTGAGGGCATGTATGGGAGTGAGGTGGGGGGGGCAATGGTAAGATAGGTACACATATAATACCTTAATTTAAAAAAAGGGGGGGAAAAAGATGATGCTGGAATGGAGTGGGCCCTCAATCCCATATGATTGTTGTCCTTATAAGATAGACATGGGCGGGGCGGGGGGAGGGAGAGCATCATGTGAAGACAGAGGTAGAGTTTGGAAGGATGCATGCAGAAACTGAGCATTGCTGGCATGAAACAGAAGCTGGCAGGGAGGCATGGAGACTGCCTGGTGCCAGCCCCGCCAGCTGCTGCATGGCCTGTGCCCCCCCCTCCCATTCTCCAGCATTACAGAGAAATGCTCATTTTGCCTATATTTGGTCCTTTATTGCCCACCCCATTGCCCTAGGATTCAGGTTCACACTCCTGGGGCCAGGCCAAGTGACACCTTGTGAGTGGTGACACCTGTTGAACCAGAACACCTCAGGTCCTGGGCTTCCCGCTCACCCCAGAGCCAGCATGGAACTGTCTCTCCGAGATGAGTTCTCCCCTCAGCAGCCTCAGCTGTGCCTCGGGGTTAACGTGTAAACTTACAAGTCGTGTTGAGTTTTTTACACTTGCATGTTACTAATTAGAAGTTAATTTCTTCTCTGAAGAAAACATACACCCAGAACAGCTATTAGCCCACAGAGAAGCTGAAGTGCAGGAAAAATCAGGAATCAAAATCTGCAAAAGAAAACAGGAACTTCAATTTAGCTCAGGGCTAATTGTGCTTAGACCTCTCTTGTCCTCACCCTGCCCACCCTGAGCTAGAGCCTTCCAGAACAGAGGGTGTAGGAAAGTGCCATCGCATTGACCCCCGGGCTAGGCTCCCTGCAAGGGACATCTACACACTTCTCTCCTGACAACTGTGCACTGTACCTTATGGTCTCAGCTTGTACGAGGCCCGCAGCCTCCCTCAGGGGCAAGACAGGCCTCAGTTAGGTAGACAGAGTGGACGTGGGAGTGAGGGTCAAGGTTAGCAAAGCTAGGGCTCTTCCCGACAGTCCTCATAACAGGTACCCTGGGTTAGAGGACATATGAGGGGCCTCACTGGCATCACAGTGTCTACACTGGCCTTGGATGATAATCATGGCAAGGAGGGTGGAGATGGGCAAGAACAGGGAGCTGGCATTACATTGGTCTGGAGTCCAGAGCAGGTGCAGAGGTCTGGAGACAGGAGGTGTTGGTCCCAATTCAAGTATCCTTTCCAAACTTCACCGATTAAGCATTATCCCCTTAAGGACCTCAGGCAAATTTTAGGAAAGCCAGCAGCCTTCCTTATGGCGATGCTGTGACATGGGGAGCAGCCACACCATGGCTCCACGGCAGCTGCTCACCACGCCTTTCCCCATTAGGTTCTGAGCGGTTTCCCTCAGCCAGGACATTCCGCTCAGAGGGCTCAGGACACAGGCAGGGGCCACACTGGCTGAAGACATCCTGGAAAAGGAATCGATGATGATAAGCTTGCTATTATTCCTCCTGTGTTTCTTTTCTTTCTTTCTTTTTTTTTTCTCTTGCTTTGCTTATCCTCCTCCAGAGACACTAGCTTCCCGGAGAGAAAGGCCCAGCTGAACAACAAACCCTCCCTTGTGCCAAAAAGGAAAGCACGCACATGTCTCCAGCAGAGCCCGCTTGCTGTCTGCATCTGTGAAGCATCTTGTCATTTCAGAACAGCTTTTTCTTGAAGCAGTTCCCCTCAGCCCCTTTCTCTAGACATTTCTACTCACATTTTCTGTCCGCTGTTTAAAGTGGGGCAGGGTGGGGCAGTGGCAGGAGAGGAGAGAAGAATGAAAGACGAAACTGTAACCCAAAACAGGAGGCGCTTCTGGTAAAATTTTTTCACTGTCATGATCTGTCTTTGGGGAGGGGGTGGGGGGGAGGGAGAAATCACCATTTTGTGCAAATGCAATCTGCTTCCCCGTGCCTGGCAGTGAAGAGCAATCTTTGCACTGGTTTCTAACAATAGCCTTTTACATCAATCTGCCACCCAAAGTTTGAGTGAAACCCTCCCCCCTGTCCTCCCCCACCGTCCCTGGGGTGGGGCCGAGAGGCGCTGTAGGGTTCTTCTGGTAAGGTCCTTGTAAACTGGCTTTTCTATGATAGTCTCTGTAGAAAGGACCTTGGGTTGGAGGACACGGAAGGGTCCCCACTCACACGATAGCTTCTAAAGCTCCCCCTGCCTGTGCCCCCAAATCTTGATGGTTCCTGGGATCCTCACATTCTTCTACCTCGGGCCTGTGACTTTCCGTTGCCACCTGCACCTTCCCCAGAATGAAGACTGCTTTGTCCGGTTCTCTTTGTTTGGATGTCTATGTCCCCTGGGAATGATATTCATCCCAAAGTCCTCACCAACTTTCTCCCCAGGGGCTCAAGGATTCTCATGCAAATGACCTGCCCTGCTAGGTCGGAGGAGCTGGTTCACCTTCTCCCAGCTCTCCGCTCTGGGCTGGAGGAGGGGAGATATTTATAGACTCCTGCGTTTTCCTGGATCCCAGGCACAAACTCTCCCAGACGACACAGCTATGGAGTAACCCACATAGCTAAACGATTGTATGGTGTGTATAAAAAAATGAAAAAAAAATTTCAACTGTCCTCAAAAGGTTGTGGAGAGATAACAAATGAGTTTTCTTTATAGTTCCTAACACCTGTTCTCCCCCCAAGGCAGGGAGGCACCTGGTTCGTCATGGTGAGTGGTCAGCTAGAATTGGGGGGAGCCTCTCTCTCGTCTTAGCTTCACACCCTGTCTGAGAGGTGCCGGCTAAGAGTGGGAGAGAGCTGATGGGGTTACAAGGCTGGGAATAAAAACCTTTCCTGAACCTAAACTCACTGATTTCTTTAATTTTATGAAACAGTGTTCTTGATAAAAATCAGCAGGAAAGGACAAGTATATAGGTAATAACCCCAAGGCCAAAATTCAAACCAACTGTTCCATGCAACGGCCAACAGGTTATTAGCAAACTTCAGCCTCAACTGACATAGCAAGTAGGGTTTCTGGGTATAACGCAAGTAGCACAGAGAAGAGATTTCCAGATTGGGCGGTTTCCTGGGATAGTTTTCCTTTTCTCAGATCCAGTAGCTGCAGGGACTCACGGGCTCTAGGGGAAGGCAGCTGCAGAACAGACATGAATATTGAAGGAGGTAGCAGAAGCAAGGTCAAAAGTTATGCCCATGACCTGCTGGATGGAAAAGAGGGTAGATTCTGGATTCCAAGCCCCACCCCTAGAGGACCTGAGATTCCATCTTCAGCTCACTCCATTGCGACCACATGAAGACTGACTGGGCAGTGGATTCTGTGACCTCAGCCCCAGTAGCAGGAGTCTGGGATAAAAGCCAGGCTTGTCCCAAAGGACCAGTCAACTTCCATCCTCGGAACCGTTGCACTTTCCTTGCAGAGAGCTGCTAATGGGTATTTGATGGCTGTTGTCTTTGCAGCAAGAATCAGGACAGCAACAACAATGAGATTTCAACATCCGGAAATGTGCTCTGCTCCGGACAAGACAAGGATGTAAAGCTCCATGTCTGATGGGCTCGGCGCCCAAATGTTAAGGACACACAAGCAGGGCTTGGGAAAGGCACACAGATTTATGGAGTCCAGGATAGGTAATAAGACTAAGCATTTTGTGTTGTTTGGATTTTTAGATTTTATTTTTTTTTTGTCCATTTGGGGGGCATTTTGTGAAAGAGTAAATCTGAAGGCAGAATCTGAAGGTGGGTAAGATTGGATGGGATTTGAATTCCATAATGACGACTCTTTAATTTCTGCAGTCAGCTCAGGGCTCTGCTGCCTGCTCTGGCACTCCCTCCCCCTCCCCCGCACACCGTACAGCGCAGAGCCGAGTCTGATGGATCCTTAGTGGGTTAGGGTGTTATATAAGCCCCGGGCGGGCGGGGAAATGTGCTTTTTTTTTTTTTTTCCCCCTCCCTTTTCTGTGTGTTGCAGCTGCAGCAGCAGCAACAGCAGCAGCAGCAGCAGCAGCAGCAGCAGCAGCAGCAGCAGCACCGAGTGGCCCAGGTTGATTTAGAATCCGGATGACAGCGGCCTGGCGCGAGCCCACGGCTGACGGAAGCTGCTGCTCCCGCTCGGTTTCCATGGAGACGGGCGAGCGCGGCCGCGGCGGGGCTGTCAGCGCGCGCGGCGGCGGCGCGGCGGCGGCGGGGGTCCGCGGGCGGAAGGAGGCGGCCGGCGCCGGGACCCTCGCGGCGGCAGACATGGACTCGCCGTGCGATTGTGCCGCCGGCACGCCGGCCTCCGAGCCGCCGTCGGGGAAGATCAACAAAGCCGCCTTCAAATTATTCAAGAAGAGGAAATCGGGCGGCACCATGCCCAGCATATTCGGGGTCAAAAACAAAGGGGACGGGAAAGGCGCGGGTCCGCCGCCGGGCATGGTGAGGAGCCGGACCCACGACGGCCTGGCCGAGGTGGCGGTGCTGGAGGGCGGCCGGAAGGAGGAGCCGCGCGGCGGGGTGGACGGCGGCGGCGGCGGCGGAGGGGGCGACGGCGGCGGGGGCCGGCCGACCCCCGCGCCCCCCAGGGCGGCCGGGCCCGGCGCGGGCTCGCTGGCCGGCGGCTCGGTGGCCAAGTCGCACAGCTTCTTCTCCCTCTTGAAGAAGAACGGGCGGCCGGAGCACGGCCGAGGGGACGCGGCGGACGCCGGCAAGGCTGGCGGCAAACAAAAGAGGGGGCTGCGAGGGCTCTTCAGCGGCGTGCGCTGGCACAGGAAGGACAAGCGCGCCAAGGAGGGGGCGCGCGCGGGGGGCCCGGGCCTGGCCCCGCCGGGGTCGCTCACCGCCAGCCTGGAGTGCGTCGCGGAGGAAGCGCCCCGAGCCGCGCGCGCGCCGGACAGCCCGCGCGGGGACGCGCCGCCGGAGCCAGCAGGTGAGCCCGGAGGAGCGGGGGAGCCGGCGCCGGCCCCCGCCCAGCGCCCCGAAGGGCCCCGCTGCCCAGAGGCCGAGGGCCCCGGCGTCCCCGCCGCCAGCGCCGCGCCGGGAGAGGACGCCGCGGGGCGCCGGCGCGCCCAGGACGCCCGGGCACCCCCCGAGCGGGGCGCTGGGCAGGTGCGGACGGCCGCGGACGCTTCCAGGACGGGCGACGCGCCGGCACAGACCGTCCCCCTTGTCGACTCCGACTGCGGCGGCGGCGGCCGGGCGTCGGCCGTCCCTGACCCTTCCTCTGTCGATCCGCCCTCAGACCCATCGACCGATCGTATTTGTTTGATGTTTTCTGACGTGACTTCACTGAAAAGCTTTGACTCTCTTACAGGCTGTGGAGATATTATTGCAGACCAGGAGGACGAGGCAGGCCCCAGCTGTGACAAGCATGCCCCCGGGACAGGCAAGCCGGTGGCCTCTAAAAAGAACCCCAGCGTGGTGGCCTACCAAGGAGGCGGGGAGGAGATGGCGAGCCCGGATGGGGTGGACGACACCTGTCTCCAGGAATTCTGGGACATGCTCTCCCAGACGGAGGACCAAGGACAGGGGCCCCAGGAGGGGCTGGCTAAGGCCGCCGCCGCAGCCCTGGACGCCAAGGCGGCTCCCGAGGTCTCCAAAGACGCCAGGGGGGAAGTTGCCAAGGAAGTGTCTTCGGTCAAGCGCAGGAGGCTCAACCGCATTCCCATCGAGTCCCACCCCAAGGAGGAGCCTAAGCACCTGCAGAAGGAGCAGCAAGAAGGGGTCCCCAACAGTGACGAGGGCTACTGGGATTCCACCACTCCAGGCCCCGAGGAGGACGGCACGGGCAGCAGCGGCGGGAAGAAGGCGGCCATCCCCAGGGACAGCTACAGCGGCGACGCGCTCTACGACCTCTACGCGGACCCAGATGGAAGCCCAGCAGCCCCTCCTGCCAACGAGGAGGCGTCCAGTGTGTCCAGGTTAAAGCCCGTGTCTCCGGGCACCATCACCTGCCCACTGCGGACACCAGGCAGTTTGCTGAAGGACTCTAAGATCCCGATCAGCGTCAAGCATCTCGCCAACCTCCCATCCAGCCATCCTGTGGCGCACCAGCAACCGGCCAGGAGCGAGGTGCCCAGAACAAAAATCCCCGTGTCCAAAGTGCTCGTCCGCAGGGTCAGCAACCGAGGGGTGGCTGGGACCACAATCCGGGCAGCAGTGAGCCACGACAGTGCCAAAAAGTTGTGAGGTCTCTGAGGCCAAGATGGATGGACCACGTGTCGAGGAATACAAATTTCCCTGGAAACCACTAAAATAAGTTTTGCTTTTTCCTAAAGAAAGGCTTTTAGGACCGACTCTGCTACAGAGCCTGGACCGAGGGTCTCTGTCCCGGCTAGGGCAGAGCACACTAAGAAGGGATCCACACTGCACATGGGATTGTCCTCCCCAAGATCAGTCCCTGGGAATTTTTTTCAAGCACTTTTTTTTCTCTTCTTAAAAATATTTTTTCTGTCTTTTTATTTTCTTTAATGCACTGTGTACTTGGAAGTCATCTTTACTTGCCTTTGCAGAAAGGGGACTTAACCAAACCGAAGTAAGTGTCAGGCCATGATATTTGGCCATGCCAGGGTCCAGAGGTCTGGAGGAGCCACTGCAAGAACCAGAAGAGTCCTCTTCCATGATCCTTCCCTTCCGCTTCCCCTTCCAGGATGGGGGAGGGGGAGGAGGACAGGGAAGACCCTAGGCTTTATGGAAAACACCTAGGAAGCTGGGAGAAAAAAACACCCCCAAACAACCAGAACAGGTATTTACCTGATGGGCAGAGGGCATCATTGATTGGCAGAACATTTTCCTACTTTCAGTTGCTGGATATGCAAATAGGTAAATATCTACCACTGGGACAAGAAAGAAGAGTTTTGGTTTGATCATTTGCTTGGGGAGAAAAATGCTCAGCAGAGTAGGTTTTTCCTTTTTTTTTTTTTTTTTTTTTTAATGTATTTTATTGATTTTTTACAGAGAAAGGGAGAGGGATAGAGAGTTAGAATCATCGATCAGCTGCCTCTTGCACACTCCCTACTTGGGATGTGCCCACAACCAAGGTACATGTCCTTGACCGGAATTGAACCTGGGACCCTTGAATTCGCATGCTGAAGCTCTATCCACTGAGCCAAACCGGTTAGGGCAGGTTTTTTCTTTTTTGTTGTTTTCCCACCCCATGCAGAAATCAGGACTGGGGAAAGATGTCTTAAATGCCAACAGACCCAACAATTCAGCATTTATAAACTGTCACTTTTTCATGTGTAGATAATGCATTTTACAGTTTATTCAGCTGTTAACATTTTATAATCTGTTCATAACCTCAAGTTTAAAACCTGATTTTATAGCTAAATATGGTAACTGTCCCCAAACCCTTGATATTTTATGTGTTGTTACCTGCAGCAATTCTGTTTTTGTTTTATATGGGTTCTCTGGCTCTCAATACACAAACAAATATACAAAACTATAATGTTGCTGTTCCAGAGCATTGGTTCTGCCTTGTCTTGGTAGGAGTCTGTTTCTAACACAAAATCTTGATTTTTCAGAGATTTTACTTTTGTTATAAAAAATTTTAGATTCACCTGTTCCAAAGTGAGAAACACATAACAAACAACAATAGAAAAATATAGTTTTTCATGTCATTTGATTTACGCTTTATAGACTTATGACTGAGACAGGTTAAGCTTGCCAGTGTTATATGCCAGAATATAACACTGGCAAGTTTATATATCATAAACACTTTATGGCAAGATTTTTTGAAAAGTGGCTTACTTTGTGTACATTCCCTATTATTTGAGAGGAAATATTTATTTCAGAAAGGGTTCCCATATGCCTAGGTAGTTTGAATTATGAAATGAAGCAGTTCCTAGAATGCTGTTAGAGTCTAATGATTCTACAACGTTGTCTGAAATGCACTTCAGAGTGTTTAATCAAAAGACCAGAGTTTCTGCTAGGAGGTGACTCGTGGTGTTAGGAAGATAGATATATTCAAGGGAAACTACACATGTAAACGACATCAACATTTCTATATAACTCATTTTTCCAGAGAGATTGCCTAAGTAATGAACTGATATTACATGTTTTTTTTTAAGTTTGTTTTCTGTAAAGGAAAGAATAAGACATATAAAAACCTATTTGAATAATATGAATGAGGTAACAAAATAAATAGTCATCAAATGAAAACAAATTTGAGGCAGTAGCACAAAGCAGGTTGTTCTCCATTTTAAATCTGCAACGATTCGGTTAGAAGAGGCGGTAGAGATTTGCCGAATTTCTTTATTCGTCAAATCACTGGCTTTTATTGCATTGTGTCAGATTCTTAGTGTTATTTCAAAGTAATTTTTAATTTTCTTGTGTCTATAGATGAGGTCCTATACTCAGGCATGGCCTTAAGAACTCTGAATACACCATTAGGAATTCATAAAGCAACTCACACTCACACGTGCTAATGCACTCAACTGTGCACCAACTCACAGACAAAGGCATCTACTTTAAAATTGGAAGTTGAAGTATTTTAAATGATTTCTGTCTTGAGAAATGAATTTAAATTTGACTTAATGCTGATAGTACTATTTAGGCTCAAAATACATTCATTTTCCCCTAGTGAATGGAAAGAACATAAATTTTATTTCTAACTGTAAAATGAAGCATCTTTATTTTCTTCTTGTGAATTTTCTTGCAAGGGTTATATTTCTTCAGTGTGAATCCATGGCAGAGTTATGATTCATTTGTTCAGTTGTATAGGAAAGTTGAAAGTTCCTGAAGTATTGATGAATATACTGTAATAGTAAAGGCAATCTATTTATTTTGTAAGCACTGGAACAAACTATTTTTACTTTCACAGATTTGGGGCTTATTTCTGCATTTACACTGCTCTTCTGTGTCTTCTTTATATAAGTAAAGGAAAATGTCAGCGAAGTGTACGTTGATTTCCTCTGGCCTATTCATTAACCATTTATACAAGATTGAAAATATTTTTTCTTACTTTTTTTTTTTCTATGTTTTTTTTTTCCTTTATATCTTTAAGAATTCCACGTACACCAGTCAAATGAAGGATTCAGGCAGTGAATTAAATGCCTTCAGTCACTTGATGGGAAATCAGGACCAGTGTAGGAATTGTGTTCTTAACCTTTTCTAACCATAGATGAGGGATCATAGCTGTTTGTGTTTGTTTCTGTTTGTTTTTGGTGCCAAGGGCTACTTTTATCCTTTCATGTTCATGGAGAGTGGACTTTTAAAGAAGAATTTTAATAGATTTTCATTTCAATTATTATTAATGCATTATCTAATTTGGCCATATTTCCTGATTTTTTTTTTTTTAAGGAAAAGATTGGATATGGGCTGATGACACCTTTCCTGAGTATGATTCTGAGATGCTTGGTTGATTGAGTCCCTGTGGTGAAAGAGCTAGCCAAATTGGAAAGCAAAAAGTCAAATCAATTGTTGGCTCTGAATTCATTGGTCAGTGTAATAGCTCTGCACAAAGATGGCCTGATTTTGGTATCTACATTATACAGTGTTACTTGAACCCCTGTGTTTGGTGCTAACAGTGGTTTAGGCTTTTATCTCTCATTAGAACCAATAGGGAGAAATTTTACTGCAGCATTTTGAATAATTACAAGAGGAAGTAGATCTTTATTATTTCACCTAACAACAACAACGGAATATAAGACATTAGAATTTTTTTTGGATACCTTTCCCACAAGTTATCTGCCTACTTAAATATAAAGTGTTTAACATCTATGAAGGTGACAACTTACTGAGTTGAAAGGGTTTACTAATTAGTTGCAGAACTAGTTTTCAAGTATTTGCATTTAAATGAAAATTAAAATCACCCTTTCCCACATAGTTATCAAGGTAAAATGCTATATTAGATATCAAGATTTCTTTGAACTTTCTAAGAGTTTTCATTATTGATATCTTAGATTAATTTTCAGAGACTCTTTAACTTTGTAGGGGGAGTTTGAGTAATGGAACTTTCTGTCTTCTCCCTTTGTTTCCATCCTGTTTGCTTCATGCCCTCAGATAACAGTGATGGGATCTTTCTCAAGGTTTTGCGCCTTTCACATTTGTGCTGTGGAACTCATTTCCTGGGTTTAGTTATTCTAGATTTCTCTCCTGATGATGATTATCTGGACTTGGCCCCTACTCTTGGCTGCTACTGAGACATGTTCTAGTACATTCACATATACTTTGCTCCCCTTATTATCATGAAGTTAATTTAGAATTGTTATACTCTTAAAAATAAGGAAGAAGAGTATCACAGTCACCTCCTATCATCATTGAGGATGGACAATTCAAAGTTCCTGGATGAAATGAGTGAAGGCACCCAAATGCTTCGATCTAATCCTGTTTCCCTCCCCCTTCTCCAGTCAGACCAAGGCATGAACAACACAGTTCTTATTTAGGGATTTTCAATTCATTACGTGAAAAAATTTATAAAACAGTTTGAAACCAAAAGGCTAGTATGGCAGAATGAATATATATATATATATATATATATATATATATATATATATATATATATATTAGAATGTATATATATTTCAGAGAAGGGAGAGGGAGAGAGAGAGAAACATCAATGATGAGAGAGAATCATTGACTGGCTTCCTCCTGCACGCCACCTACAGGGGGCTGAGCCTGCATCCCAGGCAGGTGCTCTTGACCGGAATCTAACTAAGGACCCTTCAGTCCACAGGCTGATGCTCTAGCCCCTGAACCAAACCAGCTAGGGTGAGACTGGTATCTTAATCTAGCAAGTGTGGGCAACAAAAGAAGCAAACATTTTCTTTATTAAAAAAAAAAAAAAAAAGCTAAGTAACATTGTCAGGTGATAGGCAAGTGTGGTCCCTCCCCAGGGCAGGCATTGATTCTGCTACCCCTTCCTGCTCTGAAGATTTTTCTCACTGCTGCCATGGATTACTTCTCAAAGCCTTTTCACTGTGATAATGGTTTAAAGCAGACAGTATGTTGCAATGATAACTACATACATTGAATATTATTATCTCATTGCAGATAATGCTTTTAAAGAGTGATTCAGAATGATAGTTTGATGATTATGGAAGGGAGTTTCTTCTTGAACTGAAAAAAGGAAAGATTAAAATAGTCACAAAGCCTGAAATTGGGCATAGTTTATGATGGATATTTACTTTAGTTCAATGCAACACATATTCATGGGTATATATTGCAGCAAATATGTAGTAAAAATCCAT